TATTCTGGCAGTACTTTGTCTATTTTGCCCAAACTCAATAGATTTGCTTTTCAGGTGCATTTCTCCAAGTGACAACATCCTGTCACTTCCCCAGGGACCTTCAATGCAGGCCTGAACTCTGGGTGCAGGTATAACATATAGTTTTGGAGGGCAGCTATATTCACCCCTACACCACCAATACTGCACAATACATGATGTGGGGAGACCAGTTTCTGACGCAGGATATACAATAATCCTGAGAAAAATGTTTCTGAAAAATTGGTATTCTCTAATTTAGACAAATCCTTCTTCTTTTTTAGGCCATGATCCTGAAAGTGATTATTTCTCAGAACATTTTTCTTCTTAAATTAGAATGGACAATCTTCTTTCATCAGGCTAGGTTACATTCTTAGCATGTTTTCCCTTTCTAGTGTTTATTCTCTCCCCTTCCCTATCATGATGGTCTCCTTGGTATTACTCATCCCACAGAGAAAGTAAAGAAAGAGGGCCCCGCAAAGTTGTTTCTTATCCACCAGGTTTTATTACTTTGAGTACCCTAAGAGGGACTTTCTTATGAATTTTACCTTTTAACAGTGCTATGATATTCTCAGAGACAAATGATAAAGTGCCCTTGGGGCTCTTTATTCCTCCTGTAAAAAATAAAGGAGTGGATTAGATGTTTTCTGAGGTCCCATTCAGCTTTAACTTTGTGACCTGAGAAATGGCTTTTTAGTAAAAATACCAGAGAAAGGTGGACTGATCATACATGTCATCCTGGTGACAAGGATATGTGGAACAAAGAGTGGAACTGAAGTCCTTATAGTATAAACCACCAGTGGCAACTCCCTTAGCCACACCGACGCGTTAGTTATCAAAGCTATCCATGGGGTCATGTTGATCTACTACTGTACATGAAAGTGCTTTGAAAAAAATCACATACGAATTCAAGATTGCTATTTGAGTACAAAAGAGGACCCTAGAAAAGCCATTTCTCAGCCTCTGGATTTCAAGTCTACTCGGTTTAAAATACCACCACATAGAATTTCTCTGCTCATTTAATTTCAGCGACTTCAGTGGAGTTAAAAATAAAAATAGTACACTAGTAGTAATTTGCTAATGAGACAAGCCATGATTTTAAAATTTAGCTTATAAGAATAACTGATGTGAATGAAGGATTGATTTGAAAGATATTTTTGGAAATCTGCATTGATTCTGTAACACCAAATTAGGTTAGAAATTTTTATATTAAAACCATCACAGACCTATTTTTCAGTAGATTCTGAGGAAACACTCCACCCTAAAGTCATGCTTCATTTTTCTGTTAGTCCTGCCACAAGTTGCTTATTGCAATCTTAGAAAAATAACTGAATCGCTAAGGTTTAGTTCTCTTTCAATGAGGATACATAACAGATGCTAAAAGTATTTTCCCTTTCCCATATTTCACTTCTAATAAAGGAAGTTTATTAAAAATATTTGTGAATGCTCTTTAAATATTTCAGATAAAAGATACTACAATGTAGTCAAAGCATCTCCTCTGACTTTCTATACCTAGTGTGCCCTCAGCCTTTTAAATGTGTTAGGGACAAGACATGAAATGCATTTATGAAGTGAAGGGAACTTTTTAAACCCTAAAACTGGATAAACATACCAGTCCATTTCTTCAAAATCAGATATTCTAGAAAGCATAGTCCACCTTCAAACCACTTACATTAAATACAGAGAGCCAGCTGTTCATGAAGGTTGACTGAGAGCTATCTTTATGTAAATATATGTAAGGAATATCAGCCACATCACTGAACCAGAACCTAATAGAAAACCTCAAGCATATATATGCTTGAGGTTTATATATATATAAATGTAATGTACTTTGATCCTCTTAACCCCCAATATTTCCCCCCCTTTCTACTGATTCCCCTCCCAGAATGTCCTCCTTTTACACTCAAGTCCCATTTTCATCATCACTTTAAGAAAAATACAGTAAATACATTGCACTGATACAAATGACATGTGTACTATTCCAATATTTGTTTCCCATTGCAGAAGAAACCATCAGGGGCAATTTTTTTTCCATTGTGTTATCACTAACATAATTCACACCAAGAAAAAGATTTAAAAATCAGATTAATGGGATGATCTATTTATATATATATGAACATATTTAATATCTATTTCCTGATTTGACAAAGAAATGTTGAAGCCATTAATTGAAATTTGATAATCTTTTCCTTCTTTGATTTTTCTGCAACACTTGCAGTCTACAAGAATCATTTGGCATGGGTGAATTATCTCACATTTTTCATGCATGTATGTCTTGTCTATACAACTGGAAAGTGAGCTCCTGGAAGGAAATTCCCTGTGGTGCTAAGCCCAATGCCCTGTACATAACCTGGGTGCATTAATCATTGACTGACATGCACATGTGCAGAAGAAGCCTTGTGAAATACACTTAAAGCCTTTATTCACTGATTTACAAAATGTACAATATTTACAGCATTTATGCATTAATACCACATTGACATGAATGTTGAAGTGAGTCTAGAAATAAATACGTGGCACATAGGTTAATATACACAACATGGCTCTTTGCACTTCAAGCCATCACCAATGGTGAGACTTAATGGAAAGTTTAATGTGGTAGAAAAGTAAGATGGTTAACCAGTCCTGGACGTTCCACATGAATGGCCCTTCCTTCTCATCTTGAGGTTAGGGATGCTGAGCAAACCAGTTTCTTTTGAGAGGAGAATTAAATAAAAGCCATTTTGACAGGTATTCAGGATGGATGTAGCACATCTGTACAGTGTCTGCAGTAAGTCTCTGGGTGGTGGATGAATCTGCACCCTTGTGGACTGATCCCTGTACAGGTCCCAGCCTGGGAGGCTTTGATGTGGGCACTTGCTTGCCTCTTGTTCAAATCACATGCAGTATTGGGAAAATATTTGTGGAGTGTGACTGTGCACAAAAATGGTACTTGTAGATATGTACAACATCAAACTATCATTGTCTTAAAGCATCTTTAGATGCAAGGTCAACTGTCTCCTCTTTTGTCAAGAGGGATGATGAGGAAGCCATAACCTTGTTCCCCAAATTAGAAAACATCAACTGGGGACACATACAAATGGCATCCTGCAGAAGAAAGATCAGATAAATCCACACGATAAGATGAGCAAATTCCCATTAGGTTTAGGTCAGACCTGAAAGTTTTCCGAACAGGGTAATCCCACTTTCCCATTCTCTCTAATTGTGCCTCATCCTAAATCTGAAGGAAATGGCTTTACTTTGTTGAGCTTCTTTGAGCCTCAGTACCTTCATTTGTAAAGTTTAAATGCTAGGACTATTATACCTTATACGACCTAACCATGTACAGTGCTTAGCATAGTGCCTGGCACATTGGAGGGGTTCAACACATGTCTTGCTTTTTCTTCCTCTACTCCCCCAACCCCAATTAGAAGCAACCAAAGCAAACTGATAAGCCTAACAAACACTGAATTAAGGCCATGTGATGCAATTTAGATTATTTTGTATCAGTTACTGCTGTCAGTTCACATTTGGTCCCTGAGGAGGTCTCACCTTATCAGTCAGAGATAGTTTCCTATGCAGGGCAGATAGATCCTCACAACACTTTCTCTTTATCAGTCATAGTTACACCAAGTTCCATGCAAAAAGGCTCCATAAGCCTACACAGAAATTCCAACCAGTGATGGACTTCACCTGAATATTTCTGGGCCAACACCACTGAGAAAACCATGAGCAAGAACCTTGAGGCAAACACATTTCTCTTGCTCACAACACATTAACTTCTTTCAATACTGGTACAACTATTGCAGATAACTTTCCACAAAGATAAATTACAATCTCTACCACTGTTGAAAAATAACCATTCTAATTCAGTCAATTTGTTCAGAATAAAGAATTTTTAAGAATAAATTTTAGTTTCAGTTATGACATATAAAAATAAATACTGTTTAAAGAATTTACACAGAAGAAAAATGGTAACTTTGGGTGTTAGAAATACAGGAAGGATGGTGAAAATTTTATGCTCTACTTCAAAAGCAGTATCTAAAAGAAACACAAATTTCCCTTTGGGTGTCCTTACTGCCACCTTTTTGTAATCCTAGCATACAATGTCTTTTTTACCTATTGATCTAAAGACAATCTAGTCCAGCCCCTTCTCCCTAAAGTCACTGGGAATTTGGAAGGAGAAGCACTACAGGAAGAGGACGAAAAATGCTGAACCACTTCTGAATGAACTGGGACTAACATCCCCACATACTCCTTTCATTCCAAAACTCCTCTATCTAGATTGATCCAGGATCCCATGGAGCATAATTAGGTCACAAGTCAAGACCAATCTCCCCAATCATATGTAGGGAGAAATGTAGCTACTTTATGGATGCTAACTCCATTAAGCTGGGGAAAATCTTTCTCTAGCCACCCCTACAAATAAAGCAAAATTTTATGGTTGCCTTTTCATTTCCATGCAGAGCAGAAAAAAATCTAAATCTTAGCATTGAGAAAAGGCAGTTGAGAAAATAAAATTGAGTAAACATCTTAGTTTTCTTCCAGGGATTCAGTCAGAATCTCAAAGAAAACAGTTCATCCATTTTGGATTTGAAGTTTTAAAATTCTAAAGTTACAAGAAAATTCATGATTGTAATTAAATCAGTGGTTCTTTACCTCTTTCTCCTGAAAAAACAAACATCTATAGCTTTCCATATAACATATTCCTTACATCAGGGGTCCCAGGACCTCCTGCAGCTCATTCATGGATTCCTAATTAAGACCATCATACTTCAATAAATACAGAACTCTTTTTTTTTTTACAGTGAAAACAAAGGTTGTGGTACAGAACTTAGGGCCCATATTGGGGACAGACTGGCTTTGATGGGGTCTTGGTGAAATGACAACATTGAAGCAATACTGTTACACGTGGTAATGGGGATGCCTGGCATGATGACATCCATGAGTGCTGTGGTCACATGTGTAACTACTGCCAGGCCAATGACTCATGCACAACTGGACCACTGTGATCCCCATGGATAGCCACTATCCATGGTACCTGGAGCTGCTACAAGGTGAGTCCTAACCACACCCACAAGCAGGACACAATCACTGACATGCACTGTGGGTGCCCATTTGTCTGATTTATAGGAGACGTTGTGGCAAATGTGGCATCAGTTTCATTTCGAGGGAGTGGCAAGTTACAGATATTTCCTTCACAGCAGGAGGTGCAGACCTGAAACAAAGGGAGAAAAAAACAGGAGATGAGAAGCCAGTGGTCTTGGAAAGTGGCAGGGGATTTGAAGAAACTGTGAGCTTCTTGGTAAGAGTCAAATGAGAATGTGCTGTTCTACAAAGGAGAAGTCAACATCAATTTAGGAATGGCAGGATAATATTCCATCTAGAAGCAAAATGTTCAAAATGAAAACTATCCAGGCTAAATTCCAAGGGATCAGGGCTCCATTGTTGACAACCCACCATGTGGTTGCTACAACGTTTTGCAACCTCCCTAGGCCTCAGCTATCCCACCTGTGAAATGAGGATTATGAACTTGTCTTCCTTTTTCAAAGGGACTCTGTCTGCCCACATGAGGAAGCTGTCAGGAGGGTAATCCTAAATCATGTAAAAGAAATAAATCCAAAGGGTTATTGACAGAAATGACTTTAGGCCACAGCTACACTACAGTATGGGCTACCAGATTCAAAGTCAGCTGGGAGCTGGTCAGAAATACAAAACTTACCCCAGACTTAGAGAGTTACAATCTGCATTTTCAACAAGATCTGAGATGGTTCACATACATAGAATGGTTGCTATCGTATACAGTCAGTGTCCTGCAGAGATTTAAGCCTTTGGTCACAACTGACATGGGCTAGGAAGACAGTATAATATGGAGAAGAAAGACTGGAAGTCAGAAGTGAGTTGGAATTGTCTCTACCAGCTGTGTGACACAAGCATATGATATAACTTCTCTGATCTGCAATGCTCTCCATGGTAAAGACACCACAGCAATGCCTGAGAGCCAAGCCCAGCTTGCTGGTGGTATTAGTAATGACCATATGGTCATATACTTCATAACATAAGAAATATATATTGGTCACAGTGGAGTTTTAACTCAGTGCACTTGCTAGGCAAGTGCTCTACCACTCGAGCCACACCACCACCCCCTTTTGCTTGAGTTTGTTTTTCAGATAGGGTCTCGCACTTCTGCTTGGATGGCCTTGGACTGTGATTCTCTTACCTCCACCTTCGGAGTAGATGGGATTACAGGTGTAAGCCACCTCACCTGGCCCTTATGTTTCATATTTCAAACTAGAAGCAATTAGACAGATTGTTTTAAATTTTTAATTCTAAGCATTTTAGAGAAGTTGTTTGAAGAGCTGGAGAAGGTAATCCTCATAGGCAATGCTGTTCTAGCGCACTAAAAGAGGGAGTTACACTGAATCACCAGGAAGGTGACCTGACAGAAGTGGGCAGATGTCAAATAAAGGCCAAGGTCTGATATGTTAAAGTCGTATCTACAGCCAGGTCTGAACAAGGCAGGGGAGGCAGGAGTATTGCTTATTCCAACCACAAGCCAGGCTGCCTTCCTGTAATTCCTTACATTCTCCTTCAAGGCTGCCCCCAAAGTTAATTTTACATGGAGTGTCTGTGCAAATTCACAAGATAGTTCTCTCATCACCTAGCAAATGACTCAGGAGCCAATGGAGACATTCCCCAAACTGGCATCCCAATAAAGACACAAGTCCCCACTGTACAGAAAGTCATCAAAGCTAAATTGCCCTAGCCCTCCTCAGGTGAGTGACTTTTTGGGGTGTCTGCAACACTCTACCATGATGGACATGAGTGGTCCCTGCTTCTGCTGATGATTTTCTTCTGAGTGAAGAAAAGGTGAGTATCTTCAATATCCTCTTGGGGTATGCTCTCACAGTTTGCAGCCATTTCCTATGCCCTGGGATGCATTTGTATTCTTTTAGAGCAAACAGGAAAGGAAGCATCTTTTCACAGTGCTGTACAGGCAGTGAGAAGGCAGCCTGCATGGGGAGGGGATCTGGGAGCATCATGAGCACTGGGAGCTGTTTGAAGTGGAGGGAGGCTGGCTAAGCTGTACTGGCACTTGTTTTATTACCCAGACCTTGTGACCTTCATGCTCTGAGTCTCTGCAGCCAGTGGATAAGCAGTCTTCCAGCGAGACACAGCGTTTGGTGACAGAGATGCTGTTTCCTGTGACTTCCATTGTATGCTGAGTGTAGCAGTATCTGGTCTCTGTCAAAACAGAAAATGTTTTAATTGAGATGGGAAATGTTAAATCAGTCTGCCTAAAAGGAACATAAAAGGAGTGTGAACATGCTAATTCCTGACGAGTCTAACACCACCCAGGATATACACTGCTTCCAGTGTATGACCAATGTTGAAGATTTCCCTGGAGAGACCCACTTGGCCACAGTAGGAGGACTGACTTCTGGAGAATACTGGTCTTTTTGCCCATGATAATTCCTATAAATGAAGACACAAATTTGTACCTTCCCACAAATTTCACTGATGTCCTGATTTTTATTTTTGGGTGATGAGCAGTTCAGAGGGCTGATTTAGGTGATGAGAATAATGGCAATTTTCAGGATGATGGAGGAGTGAAAAAAATTAAAAACATGGAGCTAAAGAAAAGAAGTTAGGTAGGTGACAATGGTCTTACCAACAATAGAGGGGTGTTTCTGTGTGTGTGTGTGTGTGTGTGTGTGTGTGTGTGTGTGTGTGACAGACATTCCCATGTAACAGCAGAGCAAGTAGAAATGGGTTCATCTATTTAGAGAAAATGACTCTTTCTGAAAGAAAGAAGTTCTTGCCAATGACCATGGCTGGATACTAAGATGTATGAGAGAAGACAATGCAACAATGCAGGTATTCAAAGCTGAGGAGCTCTGTATATAATAGCATGATTTCTTTGCCTTTCTGAGATAGCAGATAATGACCATGAAAGCAGTTTACAGAGGACTCTCTACATCTTATGAATCTGAAGGCTGTGATTTCTTCCAAAATTCCATAGAAATGCTTTATTGGTAATTTAAAAACTAAAGAAAAATGGCTTTGTCGAGGTAAGTCTTTAAGGCCTCAAGGCAGCATTAAGCTCTCTAAGCCTGGGATTTAGAATGTTCCTGCTCCATGTGCACATTAAAAAATAAAATGAGTAATTCTTAAGAAATGTCACTGAGCTGTTTTTCATCCATATCTTGGATCCAACTTTGCATGCTTTATACTTTTTGGATACTTAGTGGCTAATAAAGAGTTATGACCTTCTAAGATATAATTTATTATGCAATTAAAAATGCCCCCATCATATTCTGTCATGATTTTGGAAGCTTCTAACCAAAGTGCTAATGTTCAAAGAAGAAAGCTTAAGAATTTTAGGCTCCAAGAATGAGCTAATACAGACCACATTGACACACCTCCAGAGTCATGACAGATCAAGGGTTTAAGAGTCTTCCTAGGTACCCATACCTGTCAGGAACCCAAAATGGCCTCTGTCTTGAGTCTGACCAAGGACAGCACCTTTCCCAGAGTTGTACATTGCTGGGCATTACTAGGCAGAGTCTCAGTCAATGCCCTTTCTCAAAAGCTGTTCCCACATTGCACCCTGGCTAGAATCTTGTTTTCTGGCATCAGGTTAAGACAGTCTCGAATTCCTCAGGATTCTATGGAGCTCTTTCGGAGTAGGGTAAGTAAGGTCACTCTGGGAGTGAGGAGTTGAAAGTTTTACACCTGGCAATGATTCTCCCAAAGCCCTAACTATTTTAAAGTTGAGGCAATTGCTTTTCAGATGAGGAAGAGACAGCAGCTTTCTTCTGGTTTTCTTTTAAGACTTTGTTGACAGGGTTTGATGAATGGATTCTGATGGCCTGAGAGATTTACCATATTTTCCAAAGAGGACTGGCTTACTTCTTTGATATCAGACTCAATGGACATTTATAGCTATGAAAGGGACATATCTTCTACCCTCACCCTAACTTCAAATGTTCTAGAAAGCAATAAAAACAGGAATGTTCTTATCTCCTGTCTCCTCTTTGAGCGGACAACTAGGAGCAGCTGCCAGGGGCTTTACTGCTCCAAATGTAAATCTGAGCAGATAAGATCATATGCTTATAGAATAAGTAAATCACTACATGGCCTCAGTTTGGGAAATTAAGTGTGTCCCCCAAGTAATGAATTATCTTATTTTAAATAAGCCTTAAAATAATAATTGGTGAACTTGATATAACTACTTTTTGCTCATACTTTTTTCTTATTAATTATTAATTGGAAATTTATTCCATTCAATGAAAGTAGTGCCAAGAACTTATGAAAACATTTTTTTCAGGACAATATGCAAAACCCTAGCATCTAATAAGCCTATTCTTGCAATTCTGGTGTGGAAAGAAGGAAGATCGGTGAAGAAACTGGATTAAAAAACTTTTTTCTTATACTTCACCAAAGCCAATTCATTAAAACAAAGATATGTGGAGAACACTGTCATCACTTCTAGAAGTGCAGACCATAATTCTAAAGCATCAGCTAAAATGACTCAAACATTGTATGCAAATATGAATAAAACAAAACAAAACAAACAAACTAAAAAAATAAAGCATCAGCTACTCAAAAGTTTCCTTTCCATTTCTTATTTAACAAAACCCTTATGTGAGTTATGAAATGTTAATGTGGAAAAAGATTCTGCAGTTAAGTTTTGGAAAAGCTCAAATAAAGTTGAACTCGTTTCTTTGCTACACCTTTTATGAGAGCTTTCAATATGTATTGTGGTCTGTAATCACCCAGGGTGTGTTGGGGTGTTAAGAGCTGGAATTTCCCAAGCAGAAGTAGGTGGACCACATGTGGCTTATCACTGGACGGTAGCAGTGATACCGTCCAGTGATAAAAACTGCATTTCAGCCACAGAGCACTGCTCTCCAAGCATTTTGAATAATTCTTGGGTTGGTAATGAGGTTATATGAGAATCAAGTTTGCTGATAACTTCACACTAAAAGGATTTCAAAGGCTTTTATCTAAGAGATAAAAGATGGATTTGAATTTCTACCAGGTTAGTTTCAGCCTCTAAAATCTCATATTCTTCACCTGCACAGTACTCCCAGAGGTTGTGAAACCAAAGTCCTTTACTCAGTAAAATCAGAAAGAGAAAAGAGAGCTTAATGAATAACTGGAAAACACAAAATATAATTTTCATAAAACTCTCCCACATACACATACTCCATAATATAATTTTGAAATTTAAAACTAGTTCACAGCTAAAATGCAATTTTTTCATTAATTCACCAATATTCAGTTTCTAATAAGATGAGCTGTATTTAAACAAACTATACATAAGATGATTTGACTAAAAATGAGGTACAACAAATGCTTATGTCTCTGATAAAAAGCTTTCTCATCACTCAGTTACTCTCTATGGCTCTGCTACTTTTTTTAAAAAACAAAAATATATAATGTTTAAAGGGATACTAGAGAACAATTCCAAGATGAAAGAAAATGACTGGGAAGAAAGGAACTTTAACAATAGTTTTACAAATTATATTAAAAATTCAAAGGCTAGTAGTAGCATCTGCCTACAGAATCCCTGCCCCACTTCCTTACTGCACACTCAGCCACCCACCTCTGCCATGGACTGCAGGCAGTGACTGGTCCCTGTGTCAAATGTGATGCCCTTTCCATGTCTGACCTGTAGGATCTCTCTGCAGCTCTGGAGTCTGCCATATATAATCTCTGAGGTTTCCCTACCCTGACTGCTGAAACTTTCTTCTAGATTTCTCCTACATCTCTGGTCTTTTCTCTTCCCACTTTTCCTAGCATGAATGTCAGTATTCGCCTGTGTTCCGTACTTGAACTCTTCTCACTCAACTGTTCTCATCAAACTTCAATGCCATGCCTTCAGTACACTTCTTTCTTCTAAGCTATAATCACATTTCCAACTATTCCTAGATACTGCCAGGGTCACAGACTGATTGATCTGAAAGTTTTATCAAAGCTTTGGAGGGGAGAAGTTTTAAATCAATATGCTGGCAAGACTGGTTTCTTGGAGAACATCATTCTGAGTGAGGTTAGCCTGGCCCAAAAGACCAAAAATCGTATGTTCTCCCTCATATGTGGACATTAGATCAAGGGCAAACACAACAATGGGATTGGACTTTGAGCACATGATAAAAGCTTTAGCACACAAGGGAGGGGTGAGGATAGGTAAGACACCTAAGAAACTAGCTAGCATTTGTTGCCCTTAACACAGAGAAACTAAAGCAGATACCTTAAAAGCAACTGAGGCCAATAGGAAAAGGGGACCAGGAACTAGAGAAAAGGTTAGATCAAAAAGAATTAACCTAGAAGGTAACACACACGCACAGGAAAGCAATGTGAGTCAACTCCCTGTATAGCTATCCTTATCTCAACCAGCAAAAACCCTTGTTCCTTCCTATTATTGCTTATACTCTCTCTACAACAAAATTAGAAATAAGGACAAAATAGTTTCTGCTGGGTATTGAGGGGGTGGGGGCAGGGGGGAGAAATGACCCAAGCCTTGTATGCACATATGAATAATAAAGGAAAAAAGAAAAAAGACTGGTTTCTTCTGGCTTGTTGATGGCTGTCTTCCTGTGTCTTCACCCTCATATTCCCTTTGTGCCTGTCTATGTCCTAATCTCTCAGAAGGACAGCAGTCATACAAGATTAGGACTTAGCCCAATGACCTCGGTAAGTCTTAATTGCCCCTTTTAGGGCCCTGTCTCCAAATCTAGTCATGTTCTTTGTTACTAGGAGTTAGGACTTCAAATATGGAATTGGGAAGAACACAAGTCAGTCCAAAACAAGAAGCCTTGATATTCAGAAATTTACTGAAACAGGCATGGGAGGAGCTGCTTAGCTTCTGAAATGGTCACTTGTTAAATCTGGGTGCTGCTTACCTGATGTGTCCCATTTCTGAAAAATCACTCCTCTATTCACTGCTCTATGTATATATTAAATCTTAATTCAAAGTTCAGCAAAATTGAAAGTGAAAGAAAACAGACCCCAAGATGAAATAAAATAGACTTAGGAAAAGGATGACCTAAAACTGAGTTTCAGAAAAGCTGAATTATTTAAAGCTTACCCAAATAAGGAATTACTACATGGCCTCTGGCATCCAGGTATCAGATTATTCTCTGGTCTTTTCTGCTCCTATCAATGACTCTCCATGGATCCCTTAAAAACATATGTTTTCTCCTCTTGTCTCATATAAGCAACTCCTCCAGGCAGAAATTAAAAATAAATAAGTGCTCATCAACCTGATTAAGTCAGGACTTGTTGCCTTTCTCCAACAGTCAGAACCTCTAGCAGAAACTGCAAAACAGGTATTTCCCTGCTTTTTCAAAAATATTATCCACAATTCTCTTTTGCTGTTCTTACTCTTTTGTTTTCTAAGATGAGGACTTACTATGTAGCCCAGGCTAGTGGCCTCTTGCCATATAGCCTAGGCTGAACTTGAAGTCTTGATCCTCCTGTCTCAGCCTCCTAAGTGCTGGGATTCCAGGCATATGCCACCAAGCCCAGCTACATCATCCACACTTCTTCATGACAGATGACACACTCCCTTGAGAAACTTCTCTTTGAAAGCATATCACAGAAATTTAGAAAGCAATGTGCCTATTATCAGGAAAAGGCTACAAATGTAGCTGGGAAGGTAGTAAAGGTAATGAGGATAAGCAGGACTTTACAGGGGACAGTAGGTAAAATAAAAGCAGCAATGTAAAAGCATGGAATGGAGGTTTCTCATCTGAGGCCACTGGACAAAAACACTGAATTAGAGGAGATTAGATACCATAGTGAACAAAGACAAATTCTTACATTGGATGATAGAGCTTTTCATTAAAAAGTCACCAGGAAAGTTCTCATTAAAAAAATAATTTCAGCAAGGCACCTGTGGCTTATGCATGTAATCCTAGCAACTCAGGAGGTAGAGATCAGGATTGCAGTTCAAAGTCAGCCCAGGCAAATAGTTCATGAGACCCTATCTCAAAAAAGCCATCACAAAAAAGGGTTGGTGGAGTGGCTCAAGGTGTAAGCCTTGAGTTCAAACCCCAGTACTAGAAAAAAAAATAATTTCAAGAATTATGCTTGCTGAGATAAACAAACATGTATCAACTTACTAAGAAACAGAGTAAAATTAAAGCCATAGAATAAAACTAAGATAATAAAAAACTGCATGAAAGCATAGGAGAGCACCCGGATAGGAAGAACTGAAGAGCAAGGTTCCAGAAAAAGAAAAGAAAAGCTTGTTTAGCTGAGCCTGACATTCTGTACCTGTGCTCCCTTCAAGGCATCTGCTGATTCAAAAGCTGCACAGTTGGAGAGGCTGAGAAGCCAGGCAGAAAGCCCTGCCAAAGGGCAGAGAAGTAGGGCAGAGCCATGTCAGTCTCAAGGGACAGATGTACAAATGGGAGGTCAGAATTATCAGGGCAGCTAGGAGAGAAGTGAGACTGGCAGGCTCAGGATAGAATTCAAGGTTGGCAGTTACTGACAATCAGCAGTTTAAAATTGCCACTCGCTTCTAGCTGCTATTGCTTCTGTCAATACTAAGTGTTGGCAAGGTTGTGCAGTGACTGATACTTGTGTGTGTGGCTCACGAGAGTGTAATTGGTATGGGCGCTTTAAAACTCCATTAGGTTATATTTTTAATCTTTAAAAATATAAGACACCAATCTTTAGTGTCTCCATGGTTTTCTCTTCTTTATAATCACTAGGGACACCACACTGACATCTTGACCTAAAAGTAAACAAGCAGATTCTAGAGATGCCACACTTCCTGATTAGTGGATAGAGGGTTCCAACATGGTTCCCATCCTTGATTGTTCATTACAATGACCTGGGATGTTTAGATTAGATATACCAAGGCAGAGTCCTAATCTCAGAGATGCTGGTTCAATATGTAGACAGCTGTGGTCTCTAGACTAGCAACATCTGTATCACCTGGACACTCCTTAGAAGTACAAGGTCTCGGGCTCATCACAGGCCTAATGAATTAGATACTTAGGTGGACTTGAAGTGAGTGATGATCATGCTGGAGTCTGAGAACCAATGGTCTATACACAGCACAGGTTTCAGGGAGTTTAAAAAGTTCCACAGGTATTTCTACTGGCAGCCCAAGTGGAGACTTCTGGGTTCAATAGCACTGTCTGGGGGACAAGCATTTGTCTTTTAATGGTGTTTTCCATACTTTCCCAATTTCTAATTCCCCATGAGAAGCAGAAAGCCATGCATCGAGTTGAAAATGAGAGCTCTTGCATTATGTTGAAAAATAAACTGGTGTATTCAGTCATTTTAACAACTGAATTAGATCAGCAGTGAAGTACACTAATTACTCACTGAAACAATACTAGTTAATAAAATACCCATTTTCAACCTCCCTTTCATCCAATGAATCCACTTTTCTCCAAAATAACACAGCGAAGTAACCATGACCCCATAGCCAAATATAACATCTTTTTTACTTAATAGGAAATGAGAATCTGATGGGTCTTCATTTTGAAATGGGCCTTTTGGTCAAAATTTCAAGCTTTAATTGGGCACAGTCTCTTCCTTCAAAGAGAGCTTAATAGTTTTAAAAGCTCAGGGTTTTCATTTGTGCAATGATGACATTAAGAATTTCATAGAGTCCTAAGACAGAAGTCTCTGGTAAGATGTGTCATAAATGGAATCTTTTTATAAGCATCAATTCATACTTTACATGAAAGAAGTTACTATGCAATGACTAATACTTCAAAGACTGGCCAACAGACTGACTGTTCTCTTCTTGTTCTGCATTTGGCTGGCCCTGGGCTAGGGATCTTCACTTACCTTCTCTGGAGCTCCAAAGATGCTTCATGAGGAAGAAGGCAGTCCTATGGATCCCTTTATATTTCTGAGAGTCTTTGAAGATAAATTATGTGTGCACAATAAAAGACCTACTAATAGCCTCAAACAAAAAGATTCATTGTGATTGCAAGCATGCACCAAATATTTCAGGGCTTTCACTGATGAACAGCTCCAAGGAACCCAATCTGTCTACTGAGAATTTACCTTGAGGACAGTAGATGTCGGGAGCCCATCGATTGCATTCATAATTGTCTGCTGCCTTTTCACAGTGAAACATTTAAATCCACCAGGATATGGTGTGGCTACAAAAATCAAGAGAAAAAAATGATTTTTATATTGAGCACAGATCCTGTGAAGTTAGACACATTCATTTTTTTTAACAAAGGATTCTCAAGGCATCTCAGCAGTGTCAAAAAACATTCAACTACCTTATGAATCAGCAACTTCACTTTTAGTATTTATTCCAAGAAATGAAGACTCATATTCACACACATTCACAAAAACTCTGTACACAAATATCCACATTGACTTTATTTGTACAGGTTTCCCATTGCTAACCTAAGAATCCAAAATCTAAAACTCTCTGAAATCTTTTGAGTGCTGATTACCCACCCCCCAAAAAATTCTATACCTGAGTTCCTATGACAGATCACAGTTGAAATGCTAGAGCATTAAAAATATTATATGAAATTCCTTCAGGCTACCTTAACTTCATGTTCATGTTTAGAATTGCCATTAAGATATTTCATTAAATATATGCAAATGTTCCAAAATCCAAAAAACATTCAAAATCTGAAACTTTTCTGATCTCGAGTATTTCAGACACAGGATACTCAACCTACAATGATCAAACACTAGAAACAACCCAGATGTCCTTCAAAGAGTGAACAGTTAAACAAACTGCAATATATCCATACCATGGAATATTAGGCAGCAATAGTAAAGGAATGAACTATTAATATATTCAACAACTTCAAGGAATTTCCAAGGAATTATTCCTAGTGAAAAAAAAAAGCCAACTTAAAGGGTTACATACTGTATAGTTCCACCTATGTTCCATTTTTGAAATGACAAGATTTTGGGAAATGAGTACAGGTGAATGGTTGCCAGGTATCAGGAATGGCTGTGTGTGGAGGTAGCACTTGGAGGGAGAGAGGTGTTGGTGAACAATTCCACCAAGCCTCTCCCATCTATTCCATTTCCTCACCCCCGAGTTGACTCTTTCTGCCTTCTGGAGAGACTGTCCTCCAGGTACCTGTGTTCTTTACTCTGCCTTTGAGCTCAGGTGGGAGATGTCGCATGTGAGTCATGCTCTGGAGGGTGCCTGGCACACCACAGCCTTCTGACTGCACAAGGATGAGGACTACCAAAGAATGTCAGGCCAGAATGTTCTCTGTCCTTTTTTGCCAATGTGCTTTTAATTGCCTCTTAGCTATGATCATTTGCTTGCTTTGCTATTTAGAGTTCTGCCTTTGATAAACAAAATTTGGGCATTTTGTTAATTTGTAAAATTACCTGGCCTATTTGAAAGCTGCAGACAACTACAACACTTCATCTGTGGGAGCCAACTGTTCTCCCTGGCAGATGGCAGAGCCTGTGTATTTCACTGGTGGAAATAATCATCTCAGGGTGAACTGCTTTGGCCACATGGAACCAATTAAGTATGTTATCAAAAATAAATGAAGGAGAAGGCAGCAGCTTAAGGCTAGAATTATAGGCCAGATATAACTTTGATTTTCACCTTGCCCAGAATAGTTGTCCATCCATGGATTTGACTTTAGTGCCTCACAGAGCTATGAAATTACTCAATAGCCTAACATGGGAAGAGTCATAAATTGAGTAAAAATGACAAGTAGCTGGACCTTTTATGAGTTCATTGGAGAGTCTTTATTCCTCCAAGTAGTTGATAACTCAATCCATAAACACAATGATACAAAGGCATGGATCATCTAAAATGATGGAAAGCAGCTTAGAGACAGCCATCCAACCACTTTATCACCATGAGGGAGTTTCACTGTGGGAAAAACGATCTTGTATCACATAATTACCAGAAAGCAAAAGAAAGTATTTCTGAAAGTATACACAGATAATTTGCATATCTCCTCATCCCACCACCTAAAAAAGTGGGATACATTTGAATGAAAAGATTCTATTTTGGTAAGTACATGCCTGAAGAATTTATAAGAAGCACAATCTCAAATTCCAAAGCTAGTCAATATTCTTTTTTTTTTTTTTTTGGCAGAAAGGAGGTTTGAACTCAGAGCTTTGCACTATTAACTTTATACAAATAAGTAATATAATATATAAATAACTTTAGGGGACAAAACTTTGAAATATTAAAATTTGAAGTGGAATGATCAAAAAGATATAAAGTATTTGACAAAGAACATTTCTCAAAAAGTGATCGTTATATTCTCCAAACTTTATGAGTGCAAGTGAATTGCACCACTTCAGTTTACACAATTAATTCACTAGAGCACCCAACTTTATCTGTCTGTCACCACAACTAAAGCCATTTGTGGTTGGAATGTCAGATTAGCTATTCCTGGAAACTTCTTATCAAGGACACAAATTGAGAATTATGAATGAAGATCGAGGATCCAATTGCTCCAAAAGCAAAGATATTGAAAATTTTGAGTAGGTACTCAAAGTTGGTATAAATTTGGATTATTTTATAGACTTTTCAAATGATGTTTTACAAAACTGGTGACATGTCAAATTAAATATCGTCATTTCTTACATAAGTAGGTCTAGACTGAAATTAACCCAAAGGATATCAGCATCTAAATACAAAGTATTAGATGCTAATACTACAGCAGCAAAATACAGCTTTGCTTCTGATCATTAATCTCTAAATGAGTTTTTAGCCTGTATTATTGGCAATTAACCCAATGATCTCATTTTTGGTTAGTTTTATTTTAAAATCGGTAATTCCATATCAGCATACATTCTCAATGATTACAGCTTAAAATCTGCTTACAAAAACTGTATTGATAGTATTGATCAAGGAATAATCACTGACAAGTGACAAATCTCTGTAAACACACTCAGCTTAAAGTGCCTAATTACATTACAACATGAAGTAAATAGTGAAATTCTTCCCTTTGGAAATATTTAGCTCAAAATAAGGTCAACAAATGAACATCTATCTCCAGTAACTTGCTAATTGATACTGCATCTGATAAAGAGGGTTATTTTTTCTTTTAAAGGACTGAAAGGTTCCTAAGAGATGTGCTATTTACTTCTTTGTTACTTCAAAGCATTACAAAGCAAGCAGAGTTTCAGATTGTTGTGGCCCCAGCTATGAATGAATCTAATTTGGCTCTTGATCACAGAGTTATTCCCTGTATTTCAGGGCATAAGTCCTTGGTCCCTCAAGAGAAGGTGATTGTAAGGGAAAAAAGAAATGCCAAACTGCCCAGTTACTTCCTGTAAAATAATCTGTCCATTAACTCACATGGTCAGCTATAGTTCAATCCACTAAATTCATTTGTAAGGCATTGGAAAGGATTTAGTCTTTGTTTCCATGCCTTGGAACTTTTGCTTGGACAAAGGCCTTCAGTAACTGAAAATGTGGTGAAAGCAGACGCTTAGAAATGTATGCTAATGTGTAATGCATTCAAACTTTTTCTATTCTTGCCCATGATTGATTTCCATTGTTTCTGCAACTGAACACAAACAAAAATTCTAGAAATCTAATAAAATTATTTTCCTTCTTAGTTCACTTGGCAACAAAATATTTTTGTTGTATCATTTTTTTATGAACATATTTCTTATTGAAATGCATTTTTCTGGCTCCTATCTAGAAAATCTCCTTACTTTATAATGTTTACATAGTATAAGATTGTTAATAAACTTGGCTCTCTACCCAGACATAAACAAGCCACCTTCAGGGATACAGCTCTTTGGAGCACATGAATAAGGAAAAACTCAAAACACACATCTAGAGAGAAACTGAATTTTTTAAGGAATCGTCTCTATTCCAGAAAGAAATGGAGGCCAAAACACACTACAGTCACGTAGTATATTAAATTTTGCTATCTCACATGATGTCTGACAACCGAATAAGTACCTGAATTTCTCTTAATATTAATGCCTGCTTTGCAGACTTTATTATACTTTGTTGTTTTAACCATAGGTTGAGAGGAAAATCACCACTTTTCACATTAACACACACACACATACAAGCTGGGCACTGGTGGCTCATGCCTTTAATTCTACTACTTGCAAGACTGAGATGGGGAGGATCATGTTTGAGGCCAACCCAGGCAAATAATTGGAGACCCCCATCTCCAAAATAACCAGAGTAAAATGTACTGGGCTTATGGCTAAGCAGTAGAGCACATGCTTTACAATGGCAAAGCCCTGAGTTCAAATCCCAGTCCTACCAAAAAAAGTACATACAAACTATAGAACAGAATATTGTTAAGGACAGCACCTTGAGTTTGAAAGTCATAAAGTTCATTTCTGCTAAAGGGTTAGGAACTTCAAAGATTAGGGAACCAAAGAGCAAGAGAGATTGATTAGTCATGGGAGCTGAATTTTCTCAGCCAGGGTTCCAATCTCACCCTAGTCACTATCAGTGATGGCTGTTCTGGGCCCATGAAAATGAGTTTGTGTTTGTCTGGTGTAGAAAATGTGTGTGTGCTCACATACCTCTTGCATCTCCACATTTCTTCAGGTTCTGAGCTTTCTAATGTAACATTGATGGAATCTGACTTGCTCATCAACCCAGAGAAAGGCTTTTGTGCCCCCACCTACAAAGTGAGGTGATTATATTAATAATTCAAAATCAACTATCCCCATGCTCCCCTCATGTATGTTTTATGGCCTGGAGACAACAGAAACCTACTGATTGGTAGAACAATCACTGTATCTAAACATGGGCTGGTGTTCAAAGGCAGAGAACTGTGCGGTTTAAAAAAATCAAAAGTAAAAACAAAAACACACCCAACAAATTTCTGAAGTAGTTGGAGAAATGCGAAGCTAACTCTGATGTTAAGTGAGCAGAATAAACAAGTTCTGGCCAAGTGGAGTCATTCATAGTAACTTTAATCCATGGAGAAATTTTACTGCTCATGACCCACTTTTAGAGTCTCATAAAGAGAACTCCAGCCCAGGCCTACCTGAGAATCACCCACTTATAATCTACTTTCAGAATGACTTTTATCCACCTCCATATTTCACAATCATCTCAGGAAATCCTACCAATTCTTGACAAAAGGTGGGTTCCTTCTAAGCAGGCATGGCTTTATTTAATTAACATAGGTCACATGAGCAGAACTTTTCCATCATCTTCTAAAGACCAGAAGTGGTTTCCCCATACCCTGGCAGAGTCCATCCTTCACAGACCTCATTCTGAAATAAGCGGCCCACTTATCCAGAGCACTGACCTGCTGCCCTCTTGAGGAAGCATGGTTGAGTAGCATGATTGTTTTGCTCTTTTTCAGGTAAACCCATTTGCCTCAATTCTTCTTCTGCAGAAGAGGCCAGGGTCCATCCCATTTTATGGCCCAGGTACTACTGAGTCTGTCTGAAGTTAACAGGGAACTTTATAGAAGGTGAAAACCCTGCAATCAACCCTAAGAGACTGAGATCTAGGTTTCTGCCTCCTCAAGTCTGATACAAAAGCATGAATGCTTGGAGAAAAGAATACAATGCAATCTAGAAAACAGAGCAAGCATCAAAATATCTTCTTTCCATGGCTATTAAAACAAAGGAAAGAATCCCACAAAACAAGCAGCCAGATGAATTTTCCATGCCATTAACCAGTAGGCACCAGACTGCACTGGTAAGAAGATACAGGGGAAAAAATCTAAAGAAATTATTTTATGCTTAACAAAAATGTATTTGGAGTTCAACAAAGGGAGGGTGGTGTATTTTCATCACCCTCCATTTGCTGACTAAGCCAATGAGAACAACATAAAGAACAACCATCTAACTATTAGGTACAGGCCTGGAGTTTTATGGATATTATTTCTGGCCCATAAAGTAATGCTACAGAAGGTATAATTTTACATTAGAAATGAGGAAATAAACACTTAAAAATACCCTAACACTGATTGATCTCATACTCAGGGTTATGTGCTCTGTATGTATTGTGTTATTTAACCATCACAAAGTCAAGAGATTATCTCAAGTCAGGAGGTTAGGGAGCAGCTGAGCTACTTGCTGGCCCAAGGTCAGGTAGACTCATAGCTCCTGTGCGTCCCACATACCATCCCTCAGCTAAACCATGTTCTAGACAGACAGTAAATAATTAAGACCTGTGGAGCTGAATGAGTTCAAACAGCTGCTTCCCCTTTGCAGACTATAAAATCCTCAAAAATAACCTGGGTGTCTGAATTGTGTATCACAATATTTTTAAAAATTAGGATATATTCAGTGTACGGGCGGGATCATCGTGACAATTCCAAATATGCTTATATTGTACACTGGCTAGATTACCCCACTACCTCTCCCCTTGACTCCCTCCTTGCCCCACTTAAAACTATTGAAAAAGATTTCTTTGTACTTTTCTATATAAGCATATGAAGTCCTTCAACCATATTCCCTCACCTTAATCTTCCTTTACCCTCCCCTTTCCCACAGTGACCTGTCCACACACACATACTGAATCTATTTTACAGTCCTGTCTTTCATTATTAATATCTAAGTCGATGTTTGAAGTAGTTTCTCAATGTATTGCCACTGTGAATATACTTTACTTTGGTCTGTTCAACCCCTTCCACTATTCTCCCTTACCCCTTTATCTCCCTCCCACCCCCCAGTTTTCAACAGCTTTCAATACCTATCCTTATAGCCTATCATAATGTTTGACAGCAGTGGAAACACAAACAATATTTGTTAAGCGAAACATTTAAAAAGAACAATGTACCTTGGCGCAAAAGCTAAAGGTCAGAATACACACAATATGCTCAGATCTCACCACCACAAGGCCAACACAGAAGAGGAGTTATACAAAACAAGAGAGAAGACAGAGATGGAGACCAAAAGAAGAAGTCTCATTACTGTTTCCCAAAGTGTGATCCTTAGGATGCCCACAGCAGGATCTGAAATTCTCACTAACAGCACAGATCCACAGGTACTACCCCAGACATGCAAACCAGAAACTCAAGAGCAGGGATCTGGGTAAGGTAGGGATTTGGCTGCTATGCATTCCTGAGAGAATTCTTAGACACAGGAAACCCAGAGGCACTGAGAGTAGGAAGTTGTGGGAGGCAGCAACACCGAAACTGAGAAGGAGATGCACAGAGAGGAAGAGCAGCTATTCTCAAACATACAAGGGACTGAACTTTTACAACCAACCTGCCTCCTGGGACTGAGCAGTTAGGCGGTTCACTTTGATGACTGGCTGAGGGACAGCACATGAAAAGGGAAGGGTATTTAGAAGCAGAGTGATTATATGGGGAATACAGAAAACAAGCCTAATTTAATTTAAAATAAAAACAAACATCTAGTGAATAGGTGGGGGTAAAACATAAAGCATCTTTTGTTAATTACTGCACCCCCTAATTTAAGCACCAGGTGTTTCCTCTGCATTGAAGCCTGCTTTTTTCTGGACATGTTGCAACCCACTTATTGGAAATAAAGCGACATTTCTGTAGCAACAGAGAACAGAGTCTTACTTGAAGGGTGGAGGTAGATGATGTCTTTCACTGTGAAGTCTCGGGACTGAGCAGCTTTTAGATAATCAGCCAGCAGGCTCAGGAACAGAAGCCAGGCCAGAGCAGGGCCCAGTTCCATGGCAGACCAAACTGTCACTCATACAGAGGACCCCAGAGTGGGGACAGGAGATGATGGAAGAAAACTTGCACCTGAAACGTGAAGACAGACTCATCTCAGTGTCCAACTGGAGAAAGTGCAGGTGGCTTGGCTGAGTTTGGGGTGAGATGGGATGGGGAACCACAGGGAGCTAGGGCACAAGGAAGTGGGGGGCCACAGGGAGAAACTTTATAAATGGTAATGTTAGAGCACTTAGAACATTCCAGGCTAAATCTACTCTTAATTAGATTGCTAAAGCTCCACTGGAAGCAATCCCTTTTCATATCCAGCAGAGATGGTATCTAGAGAGATTGAATTTTAATGAAATTCAGCTATTTTTGCCAGGAGGCTAAGGAATGGCTGCCAGAAAGCAACAATAAATAACTTAGGTACAAAAGCTTAGAAGCATTTCCTGGATAATGGTATGGACAGGGCACGAGAGTGCAGCCTTACTGGGTTGTGACATCCATGTAAAACTGTGCACAGTAGAATTTCAGGTTTGGAAAAGAAAAGAAATATAGGTACGTTGACCTCTCCCAAACCAAAGCATCTTACTAGCACAGAATCTCCTTAATATAACTAACATTTGTGGTCAGATACTATTAAAGTCCTATTGATAAGTGCACCATTTGTGCTCAGTAACATTTGTGTGCATATGTGTGTGATACACATATTCACATATGTGATATACATGCATGGTGCAGATTATTACTCCTGTTCCAGGAGGAAGCTAAGATTAGAGAAGACCTTGCTCAAAATCATAAAACTGTCCAAAGCATTTTTAGCCAAGTCTACTTTGATTAAAATTTTCACACTGAGTTCTTTCATGGAATGGATGGTGAGAAATCTATCTGACTTTATTTTCATGTAATTCCACATTGAGTAGCTCACACCTGTAATCTGAGCTACTCAGGAGGCAGAGATCAGGAGGATCAAACACTGCAAGTGCCATGTTATCAGTAAAGCACTTTGCACCCACAGTATTACTTCAAGTTATTGACTTAAATGTCTCCCTGAACAGTACTTGCACCAGGTGTTGTACATCAGTGTCATCTGAACTCAACCTCACTGCCACCTTGGCAGCATGACCATCCAACCTGTGTCTTCATTTCTCAGTCTGTGTTGAAAATATAGAACACACAGAAGATGAGAGACTGCATGGGTCTGAAAAAAAGCTCCAAGACTCACTTCCTGTGTAGTCTTTTTTTTATAAAGACAACAAAGGTAAATGTGTATTTATTGAATCTTTGACTCTTTTAATGTAGCCCACATGTACTTTTCTTGGGTTCTTTATTTCTTCTTATGTATTCATATTATCAAGTGGTGTCATTTTTTTTTTTTTTTTTGCTCTGGTGTAACTTCTTTCCTTTATTTCTCCTTTGTGCTATTATTGTTATATTTCATAGTCCAACAATTCTGCTTTGTAATTATTATTTCATGTGACTGTTTTTTAAAATAAGTTAAAGCATATATTCATACTTAAGAGGCGAAAGATTTATATGATCCAAAGAGAAACCAAAGTATTATATTTATACTTAAATTTTTAATTTTAATTTTGGTTGATTTTCTTGCTGTGTGGTCTTGAACTAGGTTACTGAACCACACTGTACCTCAGTTTCCTTATCAGTGAAATGGTGATACTACCTGCCTCAAGATATTATTATGAGGATTAAATAGGTTAACAAGTAAAGCACTAAGAACACTGTCACATAGTACGTGCTGCATATCATTTCCTAATGTCTTCACTATTATTTTTTTGTCCAAAGCCAGTCAGTATAGTTTTCTACGTGAAAGAAAATATGATAAGATTAACTTTGTTCACTACACAACAAAAACATACCTCAAACTACTAAGTATGAGAAGTCAAAGTCCGTATGTCTCCTCCACATCAACATCTATCCCATGGTCACCAAGACAGGGACAGAGCCAGTGGGACAAAGGAAGAAGTACCTCCTTCTTACTAGCGTTTATGGTGGCTGAAGCTCATTCAGGCCCAGGTGACTTTCTAAGAGCCCTTATCAATGAAGCAAATGGGTGGATGTCTTTACAAACTCTCCCAATGGTGTCCCAGGTGCCCTGTAAGCCTGTGTTACACCCCATGATCCTTACACATTTGCTTTGACTAGACTGTACTCATACAAAAGGTGCCAATGGAGGTCAGGAGCACATCCACTTCTATTCCTTCCCAGATAGGTAGTGCATGTGTGTGTGTATGCGTGTGTGTGTGCACACACAGGCAAACATATGAGTCCTCCTAATAGATTACTGCAGGTAAAATTAAATCAACCATTTTATTCAGTACAAGAGATCTGTGTCAGTCAGCTTTCCATTACTGTAACAAAATGCCTGAGATAAATTACTTACAAGGAAAAAAGTTTATTCCAGGAATTTTACTCCCTTGTTGGCTGGCTTCATTTCTTTTGGGCATGTAGTAAGGCAGAGTATCATGGTGGGGAGAACATGGTGATGCAAAGCTACTCACCTCATGGAGTACAGAAAGCAAAGGGGGGAGATTCCAAGATGGTGGCTAGAGGGAGGAAGCAGAAAGTGTGCCTCCTAAAGTGAAATCTTGGAGAGACGCTGGAGATACACCTTACAGGCAAGGCCACCGAGAAGAGGCAAAACTTTGACCCCTCCACACCTCCAGCCTGCACAGAGCATCTCCACTTCACATTGAACGGAGAAACCAGGAGGGCCCCCGGGCTGCCGCCAGATGCCCGTGCCCAGACAGCTGGGAAGACGCGGACCACAAGGTGAGCTAAGTGGTGTGTGGTACTCCCACAGACAATCCTGGGCCAGATCAGCATAGCCCCCTGGACAGACCAACCCCCACCCAGGGAAAAAAAGAGAAACTGAGTAATAAGCAGTAAGAACAATAAAGACATGTAGCAAAGAGGGTGGGGCGCACTGAGTGCCGAAGTGGGGGAGGGAAATCCTTCACAGAACTGGCCAGGCCTGGCCACAGAGGGCAGGAGCGGGGGTCCGTGCCCAGCAACCAGGAGCAGGAAAGCTTGGGAGAGTGGTGGAAGGAGGAAAACTCCACAGGAGAGGGGGGAAAACCTACTTCCCACATGAACTGTAAATAAACACACAGGCCTGAGAAAGCTGGTGCAGTGTCACCTCCCCCAGTGTGCTTGGAAAGGGGAAAGTTGTAGCAGTGGTATTGCACACAGGAGAACTCTGAATAAACAAAGCCTGAGGGGCCAGGTGAGTGTTAAGCTCACCCCAGAGATCTGCATAAATAACACCACCAGCAACAGCAGGCTGACAGCAGTGGGCAGGCAAGCCACAGCAGCAGATACCATTCTCACAACTGTCTCCAGGCTCTTTTTTTTCTCTCTCCCTACTTTTGATGAGAAAACAACTGAACTACACCTGCATGCTGAAAAACTTACTGAAACTGTATTGCATTTGAACTTAGGACATTTTGTGGGTTTTTTGTTTCGTTTTGTTCCATTTTATTTTTCCCCTTTGATGAGACAACTACAGAACAACATCTGAGGCACCATCTCCAGGACTGGAGGCTGAGGGACAAACACCAAAATTATTAAGACTGAAACTTCATTGCATTTGAACTTGGATTTTTTAATTTTTATTTTATTTATTTTTTATTTTGTTATGTTTTTAAATTTCTTTTATTTTATTTTATTTTTAAAATATATCTATTTTTCTTTCATTTACTTATTTTTTATTTTTATTCATATATTTATTCTTTTTATTTTTTATTTTCAATCCTCATCTGTCTCTCTAATGCCTTTTCAGCTTATGGTTGATTAGTACACTGTCTCTCCCTGGTTATATCTTAGAAACTTTTTTTGTTTCTTTGTTTTGTTTTTTTTCTACTTTTTTATTTGTTTTTCCCTTTTCCTTTAACTTCTTGCTTTCCATCCCCTCTCACCCTTCCATTCTAAATATCACTAGTGCTATTATTACAAGCCAGAAAATACTTAATTGTACACAGTACAGGGACAATAACAACACCAAGGCAAATGATGGAAAGACAGAAAAAACAGGGAAAACAGCTTCCACACAGCAAAAAATTAGTGCAGGAACCAGAGGGAAATGAAGAAAACAGATACTCAGATCCAGACTCCAACAAAATGAAGATAAACTATGCCAAAGAACCCAATGAAGCCCACAAGAATAATCTAAAAGAAGAAATACTACAGGTACTCAATGAGAATTTTATAGAGATGATACTGGATATGGTCAACCAAAATGTACAGGAGACACTCAAGAAATTCCAAGACAACAAAAATAGAGAATTTGAAAAAGCAAAAGAAGAAATAAAGGAAACCATAGAAGCACTGTATAAAACCAAAGCGAAACAGAGAACACATTAATAAAGAGATAAATGAACTCAGGACAAAAATAGACAACATTAAAGAGGAAAACCAGGATATGGAAAACCTCAGAAAAAAGAATGAAACAGAATTGCAAAACAAAATGGAAGGCCAATCCAGCAGAATAGAACAAACAGAAGACAGAATCTCAGAACTTGAAGATGAAATGGTAATTAAAGGAAAAACCAAAGAACTATTAATTAAACAACTCAAGACCTGTGAAAAGAAAATGCAAGAACTCACCGACTCCATCAAAAGACCAAACTTGAGAATCATGGGCATCAAAGAAGGAGAAGAGGTGCAAGCAAAGGGAATGTGTAATATATTCAACAAAATAATAACAGAAATTTTCCCAAATCTAAAGAAAGATATTCCCATACAGATGCAAGAGGCCTCCAGACACCAAACAGACCAGATCAAAATAGAACTACCCACACATATCATCATTAAAACAACAAGTTCAGAAACTAGGAAAGAATATTGAAGGCTGTAAGAGAGAAAAAACAAATAACATACAAAGGTAAACCCATCAAAATCACAGCAGACTTCTCAACAGAAACATTAAAAGCAAGAAGAGCGTGGGTGAGATCTTCGGGCACTGAATGAAAATAACTTCAACCCCAGGATACTCTACCCAGCAAAACTATCATTCAAAATAGATGGAGCAATAAAAGTCTTCCATGATAAGCAGAAACTAAAACAATATGTGA